ACACACACACACACACACACACACACACACTACTCACCGCTCTTTTTCGCCGCAGCATTTTGTCGTTGTAACTGGTTGTGGTTTGGGCTCTATGAAAATGTTCACGAGAATTAGCTATTCCAAACTTCCAACCCACAATTTATTTTTACACTGCTATAATTCCTTGTGAACTTTTTAAATTTGTGTTGGATCATGGTAGCTTGATTTCTTCAACTTCTTTCTCCAGTTGTGTTGTCGTTCTTCTGGTTCAAAGGCAGCGTTACATACTTTGATGAGTATGTCAGTCGCCCGGAACTCAACTACTACTTAACACCCGTCATTGTAAGTCGTTGTACTGCTTGCTATACATCTGAAGTTTTGCTCTTTTAATTTTAACATAGTTATTCTCACTCTACTGTTAGCTCATTTAGTTGACCGTGGTACCAGTCTTTTGTTGGGCTCGGGGTTCTTGAGAGTTTTAAGAGTTCCTGCCTGCTTGTATATCCGTTTCTGAACTCGACATAATATAAATGGTGTGTTACAATGTTATTTATGTAGTTGCTTTTACACTTTCCCCCTCCCACGCCCCGTATGTTACAGATGTTTCAAGAGAGTAAAAATACTAAAAAGAAGGAAGAGATAGAAATAAGGACGAAAGATTCTTGATAGGAAAAAAGGAGCAAAGCACAGCAGATCGTCCACCAACCACCCACGCTTGAGACATGGCATCAGGGACTGGACGAGTATTGTCGTATTGGTCGGTGGGAGGCGGGCTCAGAATCGAGATGGTTACTTTCGATTATCAAAGGACACAAAGAAATAATATGAAGGCCAAGCGAGATAAAAATCAATAATAGTTGCATTTCATTTACATGGTGCATTCCCAAGCTCTACAGCTTGCTCTGTGCGCTTCACAACAACTATTACTCGATAACGCCCTAGAACACTCAGAAACATTATCGGCTGCCCGAGAAGCATACTACAGTGCAAGCTGCGGATTTCACGTGCTCAAAAACTAACAAACAGATAAGATACTTTACTGTTTATAGCCGGTATATATTTCCATTTGGTTGAATATTCGTGTAAAGTACCGTTCCTAAGGACTCAATGTCAGGCCTCTGATGGGATTCAAACCCATGACCTTCCGGTTGCGAGTCCGAGAGCCTAACCACTAGGCCATCGATGACACAAATTGTTTAATGATGATGAGGGTGATTATTCCGTCTTCAAAAGGACACGGTTTTAAACAATGTGTTCCCAGAGATGATTATTATTAGCCTATAGCTAATTCACTTTCGTCTGACCGCGGTTAAAACGGGATGAAAACAAATCGTGCTGTTTAATCTTTCTGGGTCTTTGCATGCGAGTTTAAAAGTTTAGCGACCAACAAAATCTAAAAGCCCTGCCTTTCAAGTCATTGCAAAGTAAGGTTCCGGCACGTTTTCTTTGATTTAAGCAAAAAGCGGGTTTAAAAAAATAATAGGAGATTTACAGCATACACCTAAAACTTATACCATTTCGCCCATTGTCCTTGCAGTTCTCTTTTTTCAAACAAGCTTAAAAAATATATTCATGCTTATCAGATTTATGTGCTTCTCTTTAATAAAAATGAAACTCAAACTGTACATCTCGTCATTCGTTGTCCTTAGTTACTGGAATGATCAAAATTGTGCTGAATGAGACTCTTTCAAAATGTTAAATATTATAATACATTTTAGTTGCCTATAATTTGTCTTTTTTTGTCCTGCATGGCTTCCGTGGTACAGCAGTTAGGCGCTTCATTGTCGCACGCAGTTGACCTGATTCCAATTTCCCAATGAGGAGAACATTAAATTGTATATTTATAGATTCACTCCTCGGTCTTTCTGCTGCTGCTGATTCCCTTCCAGGTTGGGTTGACCCTGACAGGCACGATTGGAAGCCCGCCTTCTAACTCCTGTCTGTGAGGACGTAAAAAAGATAACAATAGTAATGTTTTTTTCTTTCGTTCTGCCCCAGATCCTGACACTGGCGACCTACCTCCTAGCCTCCGCCTTCTTCAGCGTGTACAGTATGGCGGTGGACACCCTGTTCCTGTGTTTCTGTGAGTATACCCCCTCAGGTAGACTTATCTATCCATCCATCCATCCATCCACCCTCCCATCCATCCAGTCTGCCAGCCAGCCAGCTAGCCATTCATTCATTCATCCATCCATCCATCCATCTATCCATCCATCCATCCATCCATCCATCCATCCATCCATTCACCTACCCATCAATCAATACACCAATCTACCCACCCATACCTTCACTCAGCCATCCAGCCATTCATACACAAATCCAATAATGCATCCATTCATCCATTCTTTCATTTATACTTTCATGCTTCCTCCTACCCTTCTATCTATCTTTAAAATACAAATGAATTGTAAATCTGAGAATCAAGTACTACTAGCACCTACTATTATTCATCCATTGCAAGAAAATCAAGGCGACTAATCACTTGTTTAAAAAATCTTCCCAAAATGATCTTCTAAAGTTTTACCGTGCTGAGGTAGGCACTGCCATTCATAGAACTGACAAAGGGTATATATTTTCCTAATTCTACTAATATTTCCCGAAAGGAGTTGAGTATGCGGATGCACGAGTGTTTCTTCCACCCCCTCTCTTTGTCTTTCTCTCCCCCCCCT